TCCCGCCTCCACATGACTTGAAGCGTAGATCGAAGCGATGGAGAGGGTAGGGTTGCATGTACTCGCCTGCTACCCTCCACACAGAACAGCTTTACAGTAGCACTAACACGTTAGCCCGAGCACTTGACATGCATATTCGTCGCTTCACGGCACCACTTGTAGCAATGGCAAGCTGACGTACACGTAGTGTGTTTGTAGGATGTAGTACCTAAATGCTCGATTTTGTTGCTTCTGTACCGATGAGCCCATTAAGCTGTTGATTTGGCAGCAACAGCGATAGCTGTGTTGGCAACAAAATCAGTGTAGTGACGATATATTGCGAGGCGGCGCCGCCAAGTGAAATTCGCATACCATAATATACGCTGGTATATGTGGACAACGCGGCCTTGCCGTGAAACGCTTGGTCGCCGCCCTCAAGCCCATCATCTAGACACATACAAAACGTATCATCACATCAATTATTACGGGAGTAACACTGTTACCACCAAGGAGGCATGAATGCAGTGTGTAGGACCGCGGTTGTATGATCCGATGCAGGTGGGTGCTGTCAGGACACTCTTGAACTTATAATGCACCCGATACACTTTTATGTACGCCCGAACCACATCGGTAGGTCGCTCAAGGGGAGGCCTGGTTGTAGGCCTCTCCTCACGTTACCTACAGATAAGCACTCAGTAGTGTTGTCTACCTGTAACTACATGTGTATGGTGTTGTTAATCATAATTTGAATCTGTCAGAATTTAGTGGTGGCATGAAAGGATGACGTAACTTATATGCATTTGATTGTCGTCATATTTGAACCAGAGGCCTAAATGTACTTCGAAGTATATATTAGCGATCAAATGGTATTAGACCGGGTGTGCCACCCTGTGGGGTATGTAGACAACTTCCTAGGGGGAGTCGACAAGCATCCATGTTAGGCTCCGTATGACCAGTCGTAATGTCGTGAATGGTGGCTGTGGCCACTACTTTTCATGCGGATTTCGCCACTATGTTCAAAGCGCACTATCTTGCATATCTTGTCGTTGAGCCCACATTCTATCAACTTATATTCGCATAACTCCACAATACACACACTTCAACACAAAGGAGTCGTGAGGTATTCGTGGGAAGGATGAATTACAGTGAACTACTGTATATTAGCTCAAAAGCATAGTGCGTATAGCTCAAGAGGATCCGTACTCGTATATAGTCGTTGGGTCCAGCAAAAGGGCGTTCCCGCGCACTGTAAACGCGCCTGCTGGAAGAGGAGGATGGTTTCTGTTCATGGCTACGGTAGTTAGTTAACTCGACTGTTGTTGGGTGAGAACGTCGTTTTCCGTCTTGAGGTTCACGTAGCCTTCAAACGAGGTGCTGTTTTCAGCTTCTTTTATGTATTTGCGCATCTGTCACGGAGTCATATTGTGGGAATCTGGGGGATTTTACATTTTACAACGAGAATGTTTATGACCACCATCAGATACTACAAGCAAACACACCAAATTCTCCTATACACAACTTTAAAAATAGAAGTACTGGTAGAATTTCAAAACGAAATTCGTAGACACGTTTCATGATCGTAGTGTATTGTAACCGACTATGTGTGAAGCGAGAGATTCCTGCTGCATCATGCCTATCCAACTCAATCCAAGTAATGCTAAATATTGACATATATCATTACATTGAATAGTTAACGACGACATTAAATAGGCTTCTATTGTATCCGTCGCCGGCGTAACTGTAATAGAACTAAAGACAGCGATGGTTGCAACAACAGTTGATGCATCGCTGATTCTGGACGAGGAGAAGGTGCGCCATCGCAAGGAATTAAATCGGCTTCGCATGGCTGCTCATCGCGCACAGAAATGGTCAACAGAATTTGCCGATGATCGGCGACAGCGCCTGATGAAGCTGAAGATACAGCGACGTGCAGAACTACGGAGGAGCACGCAAGACGCCTGCAAAATCTCAAGGCAAAGCGAGATATGGAATCTCCCGAGGAGCGCGCGAGGCGCCTACAGAACCTCAAGACCCAAAGAGCCGCGGAAGATGCTCAAAAACACGCCACGCGTCTGCAGATACTAAAAGCAAATCGAGGGATGCAAACTCCAGAAGAACATGCCAGGCGACTTTAAGACCTAAGCGATTTATGGAATCTCCAGAGCAACATCGAGCACGATTGGACAGACTTAAAGCTCAGCGTAGCCTGGAATCTCCAGACCAATGCGCGAGCCGTTTGAGTAAGCTTCAAACAAAGCGGCAGCTGGAGTTACCTGAAGATCGCGGCGTTCGATTGAATGCATTGAAAGCTCAGTACTCAGTTCAAACTGCGGAGGCGCGATCAAGTCGTTTGGGGTACCTTAAGGCGCAACGAAAGGCTTTGTATATATCTGAAAGCGTCGAAGAACGGAAGAGCCGACTTGAACGCCGGCGACAAGGGCTTCATCGCGTTCAAGAAGCCAATAGCAACGATGTAACTGCCTCGGAAGCGCAATGTGCTGCACTGGACGACGCTACCTTGCTGCATGAATGCTCCAAGGACATGAAGTCCAAAATCCTGGGTGAATTGGGATTTGCCCTTGGCCCCTCTGGAATGGATCAATGTTTGTGCTGTGTGTGCGATCGTTTGGCATTTACAACTGATGTCCATGTGTACTCAACCGAAGATAAGGATATCCTGCAATCCATGGCAGCCCTCTTGCGAAATCCTGACGCCATGTTGTGCGGTGAGTTGGTCGCGTTTTACGATTGCAAGGACATCGATCCTGCCTTTGTTGGTTTGATGTTCTCGCGCAAAGGCATCACGCATGCTGGCAACGTCAACAACATCGAAAATCCGAAGGATGTCGACTTCAACGTTTGCTTGGAGTGTGAAACCGTCCTCCTTCAGCCTTGGCTAAGTGAACTGCCACGTCATTACGTGTTTCCGGGCGAGCCAGTGGAAATCGAGCGTGACATCGACCATGAATTTGATGACAACGACGAACATGCAATTTCATATGCTGATCAAGGGGCCTGCCTGTATGACGATCCCATCGAAGACAATCATGGAAGTTCCATAGATGCGTTGGCAGAAATGGAATTTCCTGATTTCTCGGAGATTCCTGTTGAATCATGGCCCTTGCCCCCCAAGCACGCCATTGCCAACCACTTCTTCGTTGGTGAACTGCCCGACGAACTCTTCAAGGCCACATGGGCTGAGATGTTAATGTGTTCCCTGGTGAGTGTTGTGGCTCAGACACGCATCATCCGTGGAGGCGAGCACCGAATGATCCGTTCTCACTTGATCCTGTTCGACGCGGTCCCTGGTCCTCCTGCTACGTTGTTGCCCTTGAAGCTGAACCGAGACGCAATGTACCGTGTTGTGCTTGCTGGGCCCTTTACGAAAGACCAGCTCGTCAAAGTGAAGGAGTATCACTTGGTTCGGCAAGCCATGATCATGGATGTCTTGCAGTTCTACAAGTCCTACAATGGGTTTTATGCCGACGTGTCCATCGACGGGGATCTCATTGCATCCTTGCCAGCGGAAGATGTACTTGACGGCATCATTGATGAGGCGTTGGGCGTGGACGAGAAGGCAAGCGCTGTGGATAACGAACAAGCAGCTGTGAACGGCTTTTCTGGGGACCCCGACGAAGGTTCAAGCGAGCATGAGTGTGCTTACGTCGAACGCAGTGTCCTGTTCACTCAAACAGCATCAGACATGGCGCCTGTGAACGAGAAGGCAGTGTTGGAATCAATCAAGAGCAAGATCCACCTAAGAACGCCGCGCGCAGATCCAGCAGTCCCTGACTTCAATGTCCACACGTCGAACAAAGAAACTACTCCAAACGTGGACGGAACAATTACTTTGGCGTATTTGGCAGGAGGCATCCAAGTCAAGTCGCGTTTTGATGTGCAGTACCTCAAGCACATACCTGACAAAGCAACCATGCAACAACTGGCGATGAACGACAACATGGCGTCCGATACTCTTTTCGATCGAAGCATCGAGGCGTTCATCAAAGTCGTTGTCGGTTTCGACAAGTCTACCGGTCGACCAAGAATGACTGGTGGGCTATTCGGCCATGTCAAGGCGTACTTTGGAATGGTTGAGACCCAAGGTCGAGGGACGCTTCACTTGCACCTTCTTGTTTGGGTACATGGTGCTCCACGTTCCACGTCCGAGTACGAGGCCCGATTTCAGGCAGACCTCAACTATGAAGCGATGGTGCTGACGTACTCAGAGGGCATTGTGTCCAATTCACTGCCCATTGACCTCCTCCAGACCCCCTGCAAGAGTGTGAGCATGCGGATCCCAAGTATGAAGCGCTCGACCCTCCGTTGACACCCTTCGAAAAACCTCGTCGCTCAGAAGGCGTCCTTCCGAAAGAGCCCATTATGGCCAAATGTGGACATTGCAACACGATGGTCAGCTCCCAGCATTTAGTTCGGCAAGCCCTCCTGCATTCGAGGCCTAAAGTGTGGCATGTGGAGTTGCCCAAGCTTTCTCAGCCTGCAATCGACAAGTACTTGGACGAGGAAGCATCGTTCTTGAAGTCTACGGCTGGAAAGAAGTATGATCCCGAGCGAACACATGACCACATGCGTGCGAGCTTCCAGACATACCTGGCAGGCACTGTCCACATGGAATCCAACGTCGACTATCAAGAGTTTCTGCCTGGTGCGCGAGCAAGTCTCGAATAATCCAACACAGCGTCGAATACGTATGTTGCACCAGATAAAGACACTTTTTGTCTGGACCCCATATACAGCTGTCGAGTATGCCATTTGGGCCAAATGGGACCCGACTACCCGATGAGACGGTGTTATTTGTCATTGCTACGTTGGAATCCGCATTGCAGGTGCATTGGTGGTCGCATTGCTCTTCGTGCTTCAAACAAAGCCGCAACGCAAGGGGTGCACAAATGTGGCGATATTTGTTCCCTCGGGCCCGAGTTGAAGTTGGACTTATTGGGACGTCTGCAATCTTGCTTGTGAGGAAGCTCGGCGAAGAGTACATCAATGGATACAGCGATGTCATCCTTCGTGCTTTCAAGTGCAATCACGATATTCAAATCATGATCGGTGGGGCTGAAATGGCTGAGCGCATCTATTACGCCTGCAAGTACACCACCAAGGACCAACAGAAGGTTGAATGTCGAACGGCCCTGGCATTGGCTGCTTTTGACACGCGTATTCAGCGAGAACTCTCAACAGCTGAAAGTGGAAAGGCCCTGTCCGATGAAGTCAAGTGCCGTCGTCGCTTGGCGTCTCACATGTTCAACATGACGAGAAAACAAGAAGTTGCTGGCCCGTTGTGTGCCTTGTACCTGTTGCGCGAGTCTTGCGCTTACACAGGCCACTTTTACAAGAAAATGTCCATCCGTCAAAACGTGTTGAAGTTCTTGCACCAACACAGCGACACTCCATTTCAACTTGAAGTGACCACCAACATCAAGGTCAAAACGCGTCCACACCTTGGAGAATGTGATGCTTCTCACATCGAATCCTCCAACGATGGATCGGAAAGTGACTCCTCTGACCTTGAAAGTGACGAGGAAGAAGATGCTTCACCACTTGCTGGACCAAGGCGACCTGGACAATCAAGCGTATTCGTACCGGTTGGTCCAGCAGAAGATTACATCAACAGACCTGATGTCATGTGCAAGGACATCTCATGGTTTGAGTTCACGTCCAAGTTCTTTCGCGCGAATCGAGCTGATGGTACATCGTCGGATAAACTCTTCATGGAACGACATTCCCTGCACAAGTCGAAGTGCATTGGGGTACATCGCTTGGCGCGTATTCCCGTTCTAACGGGTGGTGTGCGCGTGCCATTCTTTGGGGATTGTTTAAAACCCGAGGAGAGAGATTTCCACGCCCAAGTTGCATTGGTACTTTTCAAACCATTTCGTGTGTTGTCGGATTTGTGCCCACACGGCTCAACATGGCATGAAGCGTGGGAATCCTTTCAACCCACGATGAGCACTGGTTCTGCGGAAATGTACCATTTCATGCAAGACTACCATGTCGGTCGAAAGAAGGCCGCAAAGACAAGAACGTCCAGAGAGGAAGAACAGAACATCCAAATGGAAAACGACGATGGTCACACTGAGCCTGATGACTTCGATGACATTGACTTCGAAAACGCACTCCCGGTTGCCAGCAGACATCCAGCAACCAGCCACTTGGACTGTGATGATGCACGTGATACCACGTCGGAATTGTATCAAGCAGTATCATCGTCGGAGATGAGCAACCAAGTCAAGTTTCCAACAACGACACCCATTGATGCGGATATCGCAGCATTGGTTGGTGGTCAGTCCCTCGACGAAGCGTCAACAACAGCATCCTCAAGTTATATGTCCATTTTGGGTGCTTGGGACCAGCGACTTCGTTGCCGTGAGCAGTTTGCGTCAGATGTCAAAGGTCTAAAGACATGGATGTCGAAAAAACGCGTGGAACGAGTTGTCACGTTCGAAAACCAATCCCGTGTTGAAGAAAGCAGCGAGGCATCGGTGGCTTGGTGTACAGATCCGCCTAGCGAGATTCAAACGCTGGTCCAAGCCAACGTTCCGGGTGCATTGGAGCCATCAACGATGTTGTACACTGGCAACCTGGTTGGGAGGGGCAAAGTACCTCAAGCTTTGCCCGATTACGCCCACATCGGTGTTGTTTTGAGTGCTTTTGGCCTTCGTATGCGCCAACACTTGAGCTTCACGTGTATTGCACGTGCTCTATTGCAGCGATGGCAACTTGAAGATAATGGAGATCACGACCCACGAAGTGTCGCCACTGCAACGAGCGCCATACAACTACGAATGGTTCTGCACGGTGAAGGGGGTACTGGAAAGTCGCATGTCATCGCTGCTGTGCAAGCGTTTTGTAACTCGTGGAAGAGACCATTCAGCATTGCCAAAACCGCAATGACTGGCAAGGCCGCCGTCTCAATCAACGGAGTTTGGTATGCACAACTTGACCCCGAGCACTGTTCACGAGGCGAAAGAAGCCGACGAGAAAGGCGTACCTGGCTACACGGAAGATCTCAAGCTACTCCTGGTGGACGAAATGTCCATGATGAACAAACAACAGTTGGTTCGACTCGACGAGGCACTTCGTGCACGGACGAAGCTGGACTTGCCCTTCGGTGGAATCAACGTCGTTTTGGCTGGTGATTTCTTCCAAATGCCCCCTGTTGGTGGAAAACCGTTGTATACACCACTGTCTGCGTATCAAGAGGACTTGAAGTTCGATCTCTACGAAGACACGGGCTTCCATTTGTGGCGGTCGTTCAAGGATGTTGTGGTGTTGAATGAAAACGTCCAATTCTCCCAGGATCCCGAGTAGGGGCGATATGTTAGCCTGGCACGAAAAGGCGAATGGAGACAAGAGCTTGTTGACATCCTGAACAGCCGCATTCTCTCGGATGGTTTGGTTTTGAAGAGCATGGCGTCACCTAATGTCAGCACTCCTTCAGCTCCTCCAAGTCAACGATGTACAACGTACACTACCCCCGACAACCGAACAAGACAAGCAATCATCAACGCATACACTGCCGCATTGTCTACGAAGCTTCCACGGAACCACTACCCCATTCGAGTTGTGGCCAACTTAAACGGTCGATTGAACGGGTTGTCGTCAACAGACATATCTGACATAATGTCCCTTCCCGACACAATGCTCGGCAACATGGCCCCGTTCATTGATTTGATCCCGGGTAAGCCAATGGTGTTACCCTCATCACGGGATTGCAAATGGAACGTTTGGGACATTGCACTCCGTTCAGTTCAACCAAACGACAAAGTTCAAGCTCGTTGAAGACGCTGGATCGAAGCTGAAGGTGTTGATACCCAACAGTCCACCCGCAGTTGTGTTTGTTCGAGTGACACGTCCAAAGAACTTTGACGTGCTGCCTCGAGATGGATTGCACGACTCTCTGCCAGCTGACGTGTACCCCGTGTTCAAGTTCAAGCCTCAGGGATCAACTGAGGTTACGTTGACGCCTGGCCCTGGTGGTTCAAAACGAACACTGAAGCTCAACTTGCAGCAGTTGCCGTTTGTCAACGCAATTGCTTCGACAATCTACAAGATCCAAGGCGAGACAATGGAATCCCTTGTTGTTGCGGATTGGAAAGCACGTGGCTCCAAGTTCAACAAGGTTGTCAACACGTGCCAACAAGGAAACATCGCCATCTCCCGATTGACCAAGCGTGATGGGTTTTCAGCACTGAAGCCGATCACGAATGAGCGCATTCGGTACTTTCAGCCGAGCAGCGACACGATTGCAGAGAACTTGAGGCTCGAGAAACTGTTTGCGGTCTATCTGTCCCGCAACGAAAACACTGCCGTATTCAACTCCAGTGATTTCAACGCCTTGAAAACAACTCTACCAGCCTCAGATGCAGTCGCTCCACTGGCCAAACGCAAGCTCTGTGTGGTGGATATTATGGAGAGCACTCCCGCAACAAACATGCTTTGAATGGCTCAACTAAAGCGGAGTGTATTGGATCGCATGGAGAAGAGCCCATTTGAAGTGTTTTGGGGCTGATGCAACGAAGTTCACCATGCACCGTGCTTCCTGCGACTCCATCAACTCCGCCTGATTTGTGTCGCTCAAGTTCGAAGGGCTCGGGTGGGTGTATCGAGGAATTGTTCTCACAAGCATCATTGCAGAACCACAGCACCTCCATCGACGACGCCCTTGAAACGTTGTCGTTGAGTTCTCCGCCTCCTCGAAACAAAGGCAAAGCGAAGCGTCGGGCGCTCCCAGACCTGCCTTGCGTGGAGAGATTGAGTTACGTTTCGTTGGCCCGGACTCGCGATTTCAACTTGGAATCGCTTCTTTCGCTTGATGCCTGGATTGGTGAGGACGTGATCAACGTTTTCATGGCAAGCCTGGTACAGTTTACGCCAAGATATGCCTTTTTGAACAGTCACTTCTTCGAGAGCATGACGAACGATCCAAGTCTCGAACAAGCCACCCGAATCTTAGGAAGGTCATCCTACGGCGCGCAAACGCAATGTGTGATCTTTCCCATCTTTGTTCCTGGTCACTGGATGCTTGGTATTCTCGATTTTACCCACCAGCGTTACGGCTTCTACGACTCGTTGCACAGCCCCCGTCCGACAGTCCTGACGACCTTGCAACGCTTTGTCGATACCCTGGATGGGCGTCAAGGTCAATTACACGGCATGGAGATTCCTGGACCCCAACAACATAACGGCTACGATTGCGGAGTCTTCGTTTGTATTGCTGCAAAGCAATTCATTCAGACCTACAGCACTGGCCCTTTTGAGCATGACGACATGGCAGTGTGGCGATTGCACATCCTCAACTGCATTGCTCACTTCCTGCCATTGGCGCCCCGGCCTTAACTTTGCATAGATGTAGATGGTACACAAGAAAACAACGAGAAACCCTATAAAAATAAGTAGATATTGCATGCGAAAAATAATGAAGACTAGAAAAAGGACGTATTGTGAACTTTCCTAAGCAGACTTTCGCTTCATACCCCTGTAAGTCTCGAATTCTAGCATATGCGTATACGACAAGTGCACTTTCAAAAGTGGTGTATATTGTCTCCAAGGAAAATGTGATAACAAGACCGATAACAAGACCGTTTGGTCCAAATAAGTGAATAACGTTTTAGACAATCCAACATTAGTGTCGATGGAATATAAAGGTTCTCTCTCATAAGCGCACAAGTTGTTTCATTCGCAGTCGCCTCTGCGTTGGGGTAAAGATTTCAGGCGATCACGGCGATGATTTCGATTATGTTTGAGCGAAAGCCCATGGTGATACCTACGATCATGCATGTACTCCTTAGTGTGATATCTAGGACGTTGTAGTAGCACATCAATGTTGCTGTGATCTTGCTGCTACATGTGCTGTTGCAGCTATGACATTGTAGCTACAATTCCATGTAGCTGCGATCGTGCAGCTACATCCCCAAGCGTTACAAACAAAATCCTGACTACATTTTAATGTAGCTACGACCTTGTATGTACTCATCAGTGTGGTAGCTAGGAGGTTGTAGCTACACATCAATTTAGCTAAGATCTTGCAGTTACAGGTTACTGTTGTAGTTACAGTATGACATTGTAGCTACAATTCCATGTAGATGCAACCTGCAGCTACAGCCCGAGGCGTTACAAACGAAATGAGATAACCGTCAAAATGACCTCATCAATGCATACTTTAATCAAGTTCAACGTACCTGTTCAAGATGCGTCACATTAAGCTATCTCAACATATTCACAGTGAATGTACTAATTAAAAATATGTCATAATAATCATTCAAGATGTGTGCAGTTGAATAGTACTACGTAGTATTCTGTCAGTATACGTGCAGTACGTAGTACGTAGTACTAGTTTACGTTAACCAAGTGAAGTAACATTCAAAACAGGATGCTCTGCCATACGAAATCGATAGAGGGATTTGGCGATACCGTATAGTGTAATACGAGTCGGACAGTGATATGCCGTATCCGAATACGGATACGATGTGAATTACAAGGTGATTTTGGCTTTCGTTCCGGACATACAAATACAAAGTAGTCCTACACCAAGCCTAAAATTGCAAAAAACATTATATTACCACGGAAATTCAGTTTCACAGGAAATAGACAAGAAGAGAGATCGACGTGAATAAGAATACAAAGTCGTCATACAAAACATTCGTTATTTATAAAATTTATTCAAATGCATCCGTTCCATCACCAACACTGTCGTCGCCGTTGCAAATGTCGCCGTCAGGGTCAATGGTCTCCTCAATGGAGCTCGCAGTCATCAGTTCCGACAGAACCGTGTCGTCCACAACACCACCCGACACCACTTCCTCTACAGGTTCACCATCGACTAAGCAGCACTTTCTAAACCCATTGACAATCGTGGTGCTAGGCAGGTCATCCCACGCGTCCGCGATCCAACCCACAACTGTCGCCCTCGACGGTGGCTGGAGCTTGAAGGTCCGCCCACGTTCTTTTGCTGTTCTCAACTGACGTCGGATTAGGTCAAGCCAATTCTGCCGCAGACGGCACTTCAGCGGGCGGTTCCACGCGACGTCGGCAGGTTGGCAGATCCACGTGTATCTTGGTGGGATTCGCTCCAGCAGGACATTGATCTCTTTTGCGTAGGCCACGACGTCGTCCGTGAAGTGCGCGGAGAAGTCGTCCCAGAGCAAGAGGACCTTCTTGGTGGCGCGGTCGGCACGCTGCCCAAAGTGGAACTTCAGGAAGGCCAACGAAATGGTGGAGTTCCACCAAGCCGTCGGGTTGCCGTAGATCTGACTGTTGTTCTGTCCTTGCATAGGCTCGACGCTCTGCCACACCGTCTTGCCAAACCCATGGCGTTGGGTCAAGTTCTCCTTGACGACGGCTTCGACTTTCGACTTGGCCGTGCGAAGCACCAGGAACAGGGGGAGCTTGGTGCCGTTCGAGTCCGCCAGCAGCATTGCCGTCACGCGCTCCTTGGTCTTCCCACCGCACTTGACCCAAACGGTCTTGTCGCCAGCCATGTTGAGCGTCTTTGTCGGTAGGTACTCGTAGTTCACACCCGTTTGGTCGGCATTGTAGACTAAGTCAATGTCGTGCTCCAGCACCAGGGCCCTGACCCGCGCCGAAAACGCCTCCAG